ATGTGCCCGCGCCAGCACAGGGCTGCCAGGCCGCTCTGCCCTGACCGGGCAGGCTGAGACCCCCCTCCTGCCTGCCGTCGGCAGGTCCCTGGGTTGGGCTGGAACCCCAGCTTTTGGCAAAGCCAGTACAGCTGGGTGATGGGACAGGCAGCGCTGAGACCCCCCTCCTGCCTGCCGTCGGCAGGTCCCTGGGTTGGGCTGGAACCCCAGCTTTTGGCAAAGCCAGTACAGCTGGGTGATGGGACAGCCTTCTCCTCCTGCGTGTCCTGCCTGTCCCTGCCTCCTCTCCCAGTCTGTCCCAAGTCTCCAGACAGCCGGAGTTTTGTTCTGAATTCAACCCCCCAACATTTTTATGGCTAAACACCCCCAGTCCTAAGGATCCCTGCCTGCTGCCGCTCCCCATTGCCTGAGTGCATCATGAACCATTTATACCTTTTCTGCCTTGGGGTCACTCCTTGCACCCCATTCCCACTGCCCCCCAGCACAGCTGCCCTCCCTGTCCAGTCTGCACCCTGCTGCCAGCCCGTGCCGTGGACCCAGAGCCTCTGCCCTGCGCCTAAAGGCTCTCCCACTGCTCCTTATGCTCAGGGACTGCTTCTCCCTGTGGTTAGGCACGATACAGCCCAGGCAGCTGGCACGGCATGGCCCCCACGCCCCTGGCAGAGGTGCCAGCTTCTCCCCAGGACTGGCAGCATGGCCAGTTGGGCAGGAAGAAGTGGCCTTTTCCTTTGTCAAGCTGGTGTGTGCCACTGGACCATGTGAGCTGGCCCTGTCCTGGTCGGAGAGCAGCATCCAGCATCTCAGCATGGTTGGAAAAGGGGGGCCTGAAGAAGTGGGGAAAAGCAGCTGAAGGTCTCCTGGGGGTGCACAGCTGCCAGATGGCCACCTGTGATGGTGACAGTGGTGCTGGGCAGCAGGACCGTGGGTGACCTGTCCCAGCCCAGCAAACCACCTCGCCATAAACCCCGCTGGCGGGGCTGGAAAGCCGATAACGCCGAGTCTGAAGTCCACCGCGGGGCAGGTCCCGGGGAGCAGATTCCAGCCCTGGGCTCGCGGCGTGGCCTCCCCCGCCAGCCCTGTACCTCTCCGGGCTCTGTTTTACCCTTGCTGTGGCCCGGGGACCGAGATGGCCGGGCAGGCGGTTTTCACCCTCCTGCTGCTGCTGGGTGAGCTCTCTGCTGACATGGGGATCGTGCTGTGGGGAGGGAAGGGGATGTGGTGCTGGCTGCTCTGATCTGTCCCTCCCCAGCGTGGGCTCCCATGGGGATCGCTGCTTTCCCCAGAACTGGGGGGCTGCACTGTCCTGGGGGGGTCTGTGGCAGGAAAAGCCCAGGAAAACCCTCCTTTGGGGGTCTGCTGGCAAAGGTCAGCCCGGCATTCCCTGGGGTAAGCAAGTGACAGAGATGCCAGACTGACTGGGTATCACCAATGGCTTTGCCCAGAGTGGGGAGGAAAATGCCCAAATTTTCCTGTTTCCCCCAAAATGGGAGCTGAGACTCAGGGGTGTGATATACTGGGTGGAGGGTCAGTGCCCCAGCCCAATCAGGGTCTGGCAACCCAAAGGTGCACGGGAGTGGTGCTGGTGGTGGGTGATGGCAAAGGTGGAGATGTGGGAGATATGGGGTGGGGGGGTCCCGTCCAAGGGGTGATGGCTGCTGAGAGCTCAGCTCAACTCCCACCGGGGTCCCAAACCAGGGAACCCAGGCGACTGTCACCTGCAGGCCACGTCTGCCCTCTGTCACCTGCTGCGGGCACCGTGCCCGGATCCTCGCAGGCTTTTCAGCCCCGTTGTCTCTCCTGTAGCTGAGACTGTCCTCCCCGGTGGGTCCATGGTCATCAACAGCTGCAGCAGCGCAGCCGAGCAGCTCTGCGACTTCGTCTGTGACTGCAGCGACTGCTCTGACGAGAACCAGTGTGGTGCGTGCCTGGTCCCACCGGCCCCATTCCCACCCCTGGGACAAGAGCAGGCAATGGAGCTGGGGACACCGTGGGTGCAGGTCCCTGGGGTGGGCACAGGTCCCTGGGCTGGTGGCAGATCCCTTGGGGTGGGTGCAGGTCCCCAGGCTGAGGTCGCCTGGGTGCATGTGTGTCCCGCAGGTGGGTGCAGCACCCCAGGGTGGGTGCAGGTCCCTGGGCTGGACATGTCCCCTGGGTAGGTGCAGCTGCCCAGGATGGGTAGAGGACCCCAGGGTGGGTGCAGGTCCCCGGGGTGGGTGCAGGGTCCCAGGGCAGACCCAGTCCTGCCCTGATGGCCCGTCTGCCTGCCCTCAGGGTACCTGCAGGGCTCAGCAGTGCTGGGCACCCCCTTCACCTGTGATTTTGAGGAAGGCGATTGTGGCTGGCAGGACGTGAGCACCTCGGCTTACAGATGGGTGCGGGGCCGGGCCAGCCTGGCTGCATGGGGCACGGGGCCCCACTCAGACCACACCGTGGGCACTGACCTGGGTAAGCAGGAGCTGCTCGGGTGGTGAGCAGGCTCTGGGCACCCACAGCACCGCACCTCTGGGCCATGGGTGCTGGGACACCCAGCTTTGCCGTGGTGGGGCAGGAGCTGTGCTGGGCATGGCTCTGGTGCCATCCCATGGGGCTGCAGGCCCTGCTCTGCTCTCTGCCCTCTCTAGGGTGGTTCATGGTGACTGTGTCGCCCCCGGCAAAGACCATGGCCACAGCCTGGCTCAAGTCACCAGTGATGCGGGAAGCAGCTGCCACGTGCGAGATCAGGGCCTGGTACCACCTCTCGGGAAGCGGTGAGGATGCCCATGGCGGGCATGGCGGGGTGTCGGGGTACAGGGCACGGGGAAGTGACAATGTGGGCAGTGGGGAGGGATGGGACCATCTTCTCCCATGGCAGGGACAGAGCCACTGGCACCTTGAGGTGGATCCTTGCCATCCCACTCACCTCCCCATGCTCCGCAAGCAGAGCTGGCAGGACCCATGGGTCCCAGCTCTGATCCCCAGAGGCAGCAGGGTTCAGTTTGTCCCTGTGGGTACTCTGGGGTGCCCAGTGCCAAGGTCCACATTTTGGGGCTCCTCACAGGGCTCAACCAGACAGAGCAGCCAGTGCTACGACTGGCTATGGCGTACAGGGACGAGGTGGTAGGGCTGTGGCAGAGCCCCAGGCGCGGAGGCGAGGGCTGGCACCAGCTGGTTGCTTACCCGGGCCGGATCGCGGAGCAGTTCCAGGTGAGACAGTGCCATGTTGGCACCCGGGCACTGGCCCGTGAGCTAGGCTGGAGCAGCCGGGTGATGCACCGGCAGCCGAGGATGCCTGGGCAGATCGGGCAGAAGCTCAGCTCATGCCATCCCCGGCATCTTGTTGGCAGCTCATCTTCTCCCTGACACAACCACCAGCATTTGGGGCAGAAGTGGCACTCGATGACATCATCTTCAGGAACTGCGGCTTGCAGGGTGAGTCCAACATTTGCTGGGATGAGACATGAGCCAGGATCCACAGGGAAATTGGTTTGGGTGTTGCACCCAGCAGATCTCTCCCACTGCCCACTGTGTCTAGGGTGCATCTGCCAGGGCAGGTAGCAGGTAGCAAACCCTGTCCCTCGAGCAACCCAGGGAGGGATGTGGGGGGAGCCCAGCATGTGCTGGGGTCCCCATGGGGCTGGCCAGGTGCTGACCATGTGTCCCACCACCCCAGAGCCCGGGCAGCAGATCTGTGGAGAGGAGGAGAGCCGCTGCTGCTGGGGCTTATGCCTGGCACAGCACCGCCTCTGTGATGGCACTGACGACTGCGGGGACGGCTCCGATGAGAACAAAACGCAGTGCGGTGAGTATGCCTGGCCCTGGGGAGGGGGTGCTGCCCACCATCCCCCAGACCACACGGACAGGCTGAGGGTCTGCCCTGGTGGGTAAAGTCAGGCTGTAGGGCTAGCGGGGATCACCCCAGCTCTGCCCCATGGCTGTGTGGCTGAAAGGGTAAAATCACCCTGAGGGTTTTGTGGACAGGTCAGACCATCACAAGGACCTCCTTGTGTGATTCTGCTCTCCCTCCCTCCCTGCAGAACACTTCACCCACTGCTCCTTTGAGCAAGGTCTCTGCAGCTGGGAGGTGGAGGTCGGGCAGCTGATGTGGGAGAGGAACACGAGCATGAACCTGGGGAACATGTCCAGCATCCCCACCCGGGACCACAGCAATAACAGCAGGGCAGGTACGTGGTCAGGCACCAGCACCCCAGGGGAGCCTCACTGTGGGTTCCCAGGACATCACTGGCCCCGGGGCAGATGTGCCCCCTGGCCCCTGGGGTAACACGTGCCTGGGCTCGGCTTAAGGCTGTGCTGAGAAAACAGCATCTAGCACCCGCACACACAGCCCAGCACCACTCAGCCCCTTCCCGGCATCTCCTGCAGGTTTTTTCCTCCTCGTGGGCAGCACCTCAGCTGCAGCAGCCAGTGTCACGGCACGGCTCAGCAGTCCCACTTTCCAGCCCACCAACTCCTGCTCTGTGAGTCACAGCCGGGACCCCGCATCACAGCCTGTGTGGGCACAGAGGGTGGTGGCAGAGGACAGGATCCCCAGCCGGGAGGAACCCTGCATGGGGCTGGGGCTGTGGTTGTCCCTTTGCTAGAGATGGGTAGAGGGTTTTTGGGGGTGTTTTGGTGGCATCTCCAGTGCTTGCTGGGAGCTTTGAGCTCCTCCAGCCCCACTTTTGTGAGCATCCCATGGGGCAGCAGCTGCACCGTAGGACTGTGTACCCCTGCCCAGGGCTTCGGGGCTCACTCACCCCCCTCCCCATCCCCAGCTCGTGCTGTACTGCCACCTCCATGGCTCAGCCACCAGCAGACTCAGAATCTCCTATGTGATCAACTCCACCGAGCACCTGGTGAGGGAGAGGATGGGGGACCTGGGCAGCTTCTGGGTCCGGGAGAGAGTGGTCTTCAACACGATGGAGAGCTTCAAGGTGGGCTGGCACTGTGCCGGGGCGAGCTGGGCTGCCTGCGGGGCAAAGGACACAGGGCCACCCCACAGAGGGCAGAGGGCCACCCCACAGAGGGCAGAGAGCCACCCCCAGTATGCACCTGTGGGACCAGGGGTAGGGGTTGAACTGAGAACCAGATGGCAGAGCTGAGCCTCCTGGTGCTGGCAGGTGCCACCCTCATGTCCCTGTGCCCACACCTCCAAATCTGCCTACCAGCCCCCCCAGTCCAGGGACCACCCCACTGGAAGCAGGGTGGGAGGGTGTCTTCATTCCCATGTCACCCCATGCCTTCCCACCATCCTGACTGCTGTCCCCCATGGCCACCCACACAACCCGACCCCCCTCCAGCTGGCCCTGGAGGGCACCCAGCAGCACCCCTGGGCAGCCACGGCTGTGTGCAGGGGCAGCACCATCACCCCACTGTGGCCCTGCCAGCCCACCCCACACCCCCCTTCCAGCCGCAGCATCCCCCTGGCTCCCACCAAGCTCCTTCCCAGGGGAAGCCGTGTCGGCCAACCACAGGAACCAGGTTCCCCCCAACTTGTGGCTCCCCAGTGTCCCCCCATGCCAGTGCCATTGCCTGTCCCCTCCATACTGTGCAAGACCCCATGTTGATGTTGCTGGCATGGTGCTTCCCCACAGGTGCTGATCGAGGGTATGGCCAGCGGCGCGGGGACCGTGGCCATCGATGACCTGATCCTGTCACAGGGCTGCGTGAGCACGCAGGGTGAGCTGGAGGGTGGCCATCTCCCACCCCTGCTCCAGTGTGGGCAGTGGTCCCTAGGTGTCTTGTGCCCATGGCACCATCCCTAAAGGACCAACTGCAGAGTCTGCCTGGCCCTCTGCTCATCACGGTGACCATCCTGGGCACAGCATGGCAAGCACTTGCCCTGGGGCCTGCAGCCCAGGTTGCCTGATGTCCTCATCCTGCAGCTGTGACACTCCATCCCCTGTGTCAAAACCTGCTGCCTGAGCCAGGTCACACAGGCAGTTATCATCAGCCCCCTCTGTCCCCTTCATCTGGTGGCAGCAGGCAGGGCAGGCAGGAATGGGGCTGGGGTCATGGAGAGCCATGGAGGTGGTCAGGGACAGGGGACTGGAGCTTGAAGGGGTGGTGATGCCGGTGATGCTGCCAGTCCCTCTCACCACCGCTCTCCATCCCGGGGTGTTTCGCCATCAGACAAACCTTCAACCATGCTGCCGAGCCAGGCATATCCCAGACCCTGCACAGCCGATGAGGTGGCCTGCGACAGCAGGGAGTGCATCAGCGCGGAGCTGGCCTGTGACTTTGCCCAGACATGTGCCGATGGCTCTGATGAGAAGCGCTGCGGTGAGAGCCATGGGTGGGCACCTAGCTCCCCGGTAGCCAGGCGGCAGAAGGGACCAGGGCAGAGTGACCTGGGCACCCCTTGGCTGGCATGGCTGAGGGACATGGGTGGCCACGCAGCCCCCGGGAAGCACAGTGGCCCGGTGGAGCTGAGCCTGGGCTTTTGCAGGAGCGACCACCTTCGAGACGGGGGACGGGGGCTGGCATGATGTCAGCCTGGGGCGGCTGCGCTGGGGTGTGCAGACGGCCACTGAGCTCACTGATACCATCCTCACAGGTGAAGCTGTTCCCACTGCCGAGACGATGCTCTTTGGTCCCCAGCACTGCGGGGACTCCCAGGGTGCAGGGACCCCATGCTCCCACCCAGCCGGGGTGGGTGGGTGCCATCATGGGAAGTGTGGGGGTGATGCCTGGGCAGAGTGCTGGGCTGGGGGTGCTGCCAGGGACATGGGGCCCCTGCCCTGACCTCTCAGGGTGTTTCTGTGCCCAGGGGCTTTCCTGGCCCTCCAGGCAGGAGAAGGACAAATGATGGCTGCTGCGAAGGCACGCACGCCTCTGCTGGGCCCCTCCGGTCCTGCCTGCACCATGGAGATGAGCTACCGCATCCACCGAGGCCACAAAGGTAACCCCCTGCCTGGCCCTGGGGTGCCCTGCCCACTCCCTGTCCCATCCTGCCCACCTTTTCTGTCTCTCCCAGCCCAGCTCTGCCCCACCACATCATCCTGCAGCTGGGGTGTCCCTGTTCCCTTCGACCATGGGCTGGGTGGGTGCCCAGGCACCAGGAGGGTTCCCAGGGGGTGGCCGGGGGCTGCCGGTCCCCACATCTTCTGCACTACCTCTCGCGCCCAGGCTTCCTCGCAGTCAGCATCGTGGATCACACCACTGGCACCACCCACCTGGCATGGCATACACAGGGTCACAGTGGCACAGCTGAGGGACATGTCCGTGTCCTGCTGGGGGAGAGGACACAGCGCTTCCAGGTGCATCCAGGGGCACAGGGACCAGCCTGGTTGGCTACTGGTGGGGCAGCGCCAGCGCTGCCAGGCACCCTGGGACTCACCACCACCACACTGCCCCCAGGTCGAGCTGCTGGGGCTGGTGGATCTGCAGGACTCAGCGGGTGCTGCCATCGACAATGTGACGTTAGTGCAGTGCCACCCCAAGGTGGTGCCACCAGGGGCTGCGGGTATGGCCAGGGGCACATGGGCAGGGATGGTGGCTATGGGTGGGAGGGGACCCCGGCCTCCCTGCCCACAGAGATGGATGCTGCTCGCATGGGGGCTGGCTGGTGACTGTCACCCTGTCCCCAGCCCAGGGACAGGATTGTGGTGCAGAAGCCCTGGGGCCAGGGCTGAGCGCGCATCCTGCCCCTGGGCCTCTGCATGGGGTGAACTTGGGAAGTGGGGCAGGGGAGCAGAGGGAAAGGGACATTTTGGGGACCTGTTTGCTTTTGGGGTGCCTTATCTCCACTCCCTCACCACGGTCACCTCTCTCTGGCCAGAGCTGTCCTGCAACTTTGAGACGGGCATGTGCGGCTGGTACCAAGATCAGTCCAGTGACTTCAAATGGGTCCGCAGCACGGGGCAGGGACAGGGCTCTGACCACACCACTGGCTCAGGTAAGGGGCTGGCTCCTCTCCCGGGGACCCTGGGCAGCCAGAGGACCCCACAGCCTCCTGGCCGGGATGTGCCCTGCGCACCCCAAGCAGCCCCATGCCTGCGGGGTGAGCTCAGCCAGAACAGCCCTGAGGCAGCCGGATCTGGGACAGGGGTGCAGGTGGTGCAGGCATAGCTCGGAGCACCCATGTCCGTGTGCCCTCTGCCCTGGCTGTCCCCAACACTCAGGCTACTTCTTGGCCGTGGATCCCTCTGTGCCATGGAGCCGCGGGCAGTGGGCGCAGCTTGTCACCTACCGCCAGGAGCCCACCACCACCCCACGCTGCCTCTCCTTCTGGTACCGCCTGGCCGGCCCGCAGATTGGTACGTGGCCCCATGGCATCCTCCCAGGGATGCCCCAGCTGGGCTCCACTCCCCTGGAGACTGCGGGGTCCCCGAGAGGTGCAGGACAGCTGCCCAATGCTCCCTTCTGCCCAGGCACCCTGAACCTCAAGCTGCGGCTGGAGGGAGCAGAGGAGATGGTGCTGTGGACCCAGCGGGGGACCCAGGGCAGCATCTGGCACCAGGGACGGGCAACGCTGCCCGCCACAGGCCAGCGGCCGTACCGGGTGAGAGCTGTGTCCCCCCCACGCCCCTGGGAGACAGTGGGGCATGTGGCTGTTTGACACTGCTGTCTTGGTGGCAGGTGGCCTTTGAGGCCCTGCGGGATGGGTTCCTGGGGGATATGGCACTGGACGACCTGGCGCTGACGGCGGGGCCCTGTGGGGCTGAGCTCTCCTGCTCCTTCGAGGCGGATGCCTGTGGGCTGGCAGCCAGTGAGCAGCGTACCTGGCTGTGGCAGAGCAACAGCACCGGCGCCACTGCTGGCCCCTCGGCCGACCACACCACTGGCACTGCCACAGGTACCGGGGCCACGGCTTCCCAGAGCTCTGATGGAGCCCTGCTGGCTGCCCTGTGGCTCCTGCCTGCCTTCCCTGCCTGCACTGAGCATCCTGCCCGCCATCCCTGCCTGCTCTGCCCAGGATGTGCAGAGGGCGCTGCTGTACAGAGCTCCTCAAACCTGGGACTCCCTAAACCTGGAGTTTCTCAGCCCCAGGACTCCCCAACCTGGGAGGAACCCCAGCCCCAGCAGTCCCCTGGTGCCCCTAGCAGGGCTGGATGGGGGTCATGGCATGGGGACTTCTCTCCCCGCAGGCCATTACATGGTGGTGAGCACAGGAAGGGGCTCCCTGCCTGCAGGGCACACGGCTGCCCTCACCTCCCAGCCCTACCAGCCCTCTGCACTCGCCCAGTGCCTGGCCTTCTGGTACCAGCTGAGCACTGGGACCCCAGGTGAGTGCCATGACTCCCCCACGAGGCCCCTGGGGGCACCTCTGGACAGGTGGGGGTCCTGTGCGGCACAGCCCGGACCCCCCTCCATGGTGGGTGCCATGGGCAGGATCTCTCGGCATCTTCGTGGAGCAGAGTGGGGTGCGGAGGAAGGTGATGAGCGTGAGCACCACGGAGGGAGATGTCTGGCACCGCGGTCATGTCACTGTCCAGCCAGATGGGGAGTGGCAGGTGAGATGGGGCAGGGTGCCGGGGACCTTGCTGTGGGGAGCAGGACAGGCCAGGGGTGACAAGGGGAGCATGGCAGCTGCCAGCCTCAGCGTGCCACCCTGCCCACCCCTCCGGTAGGTGATATTTGAGGTGGTGGGAGCTGGGGGTGACCACGGGTACATCGCACTGGACGACCTGCATGTGTCAGACGGAGCCTGCCCCGAGCCAGGTGAGAGCCCACACCATGGGGCACCGTGGACTGGCCAGGGGGGATGGGCACCCCATGGGGGCACACAGATGTGGGGATGGGGATAGCCCGTCCCTTCCATCTGCCATGGCTGATGGGCACCCTGCTCCTGCCCTGAGCTTGGCTTGGCCCAAAGCTGGGGGTGGTGGGGAGGGGGCTGCTCCCCCTTGGATGCCTCATCTCCCACCAGGCAGCGCAGGGCAGTGGGTGCCTGCAGCGCTGGGTGCCTCACAGCCCCCCTTTCCTCCCAGCGTCCTGTGACTTCGAGAGGGACATGTGTGGCTGGAGCAGCCCCTCAGACCCCCGCCTGCACAGCTTTGCCTGGGGCTGGAAGAACGGGGTCCCCCTTGCCAAGTACCCCGGCCCCGAGCAGGATCACACCCTGGGCACAAGGGATGGTAGGAGACATCCATCCCTCCCAGGGCACCCCAGCACATCTGGAGGGAGGAAGAGGAGCTAGGGATGGATGGGGTCACCCATGAATGTCCCCCCTCCCAGTGCGTCCCAGGGGGCCTGGCTCCACAGCATCCCCTTCCCCTCCTCACCCAGGAGGGACAGCTCGGTCCCAAAGGCCACAGTGAGGAGTGGGCCTCAGGGGTGCAATCCTCCAGGCATTGTCTGGGCATTTTGGGGGGCAGCAGGACATGGACGGGGGGGG